AGAGAATTCAAACGTTGGTTGAGCCCCTATTCATTTTTCGCGAACACTCCCTTTAAAAAGAAAAGTTGATTTCACGTTAATTATTAAACTAGTGAGAGACAAAAAAACTAGTTATTTAGGCATAAATCGAATAAATTCGAAATTATCAACAACAAAAAACGTCCACATTTTTATTTTTTGATAATTATGACTTAGATACATGATACTTCTGAGATACATTTGTTGATATCCATATCGATATATTTTGAAGAATTTTTTTCGGTCCTACTAGCTCTCAGCTCGACATTTTTTAAAAATTTTGATAATTTTAGTTTGCAAAACTTTAGAACAGTTAAGGGAAGGTATATCACAGGGCCCTAATATTGGTTCCAAAATCGACCGACGACCATGCCGGGCATTAAAGATTGTTCATCTACAAGTTTACCTGAGTTTGACAGTATTCAATCTTTTCCTGGCACTCTGTCCCTTGGAATCCTGGAGAACAGATACAAATATATCCATTGAGTTGATCTACACATCTACCATTGTTCAGACAAGGATCTGGGATACATTCATCTACCTCTACCTCACATCCTTCGCCAGTATATCCATCTAAAATTATATAAATCAGGAATAACATCAATATCATGACCATGATCATCATTGTCATCATTATCATCATCATCATCATCATCATCATCTTCATCATCATCACTATCATCATCATGATCATTATCAAAATCATCATCATCATGATGTTAACCATCATCATCATCTGATTATCATCATCATCATCATCATTATCATGATCATCATTATCATCATCATGATCATCATCATATGATCATCATCACTGTAGATCAAAATCATGATCAAGATAATCATCATTGTCATCATCATCATCATCTTCTTGTGTGATCTGCTTTATAAGTCAAGATATGAAATCAGGATTATTGGTTAATTTTCACCAATTTTTAGAAATGATCAATTCATCCTTTTTTAAATAAAAAGATAATATTTAAATACCTTGGCATACGCACTCAAAATGATTTACTAGATCATGACAGGTTCCATTGTTTAAACATGGTCGATCCTCACATTCATTAATATCCACCTCACAGTTCTTTCCTCTGTTGTATCAAATATACATTGTTCTATAACTATACAAGTTGTAATTTCTCTGTGTTTGTTTGTTTGTTTGTTTATTTGTATGTCCTATCATAACTCAAGAAACCCTTGACCGAAAACCACATGGAATGTTTTTAGCTTGATTTTCAGATTCTGAGTTGAGTTGGTCTACATTTATAGAGAAAAATTAGGTAAAATCGTAATTTATGACCAAGTGCGGGTAAACGGTGGGAGTAACTATGTGTACCCTGGGCAGCAACGGATTCCCAATCTGTACATGGATAAATTTTTAACTATTTTGAAAAAATTAAGTTTTGTTATCATCAGCAATTCTAAAAAGTTAATCAAAAATAATAATAAGCGTTTTTGGAAATCCTGTAAATGATAATTCAACTGTTAGATTGAATTTAATCCTTGTTACATTTAATTTTATAGATTGCTGACAAATCAGATTTGTATTATTTTTGTTTTAAATAGTTCCGTTTTCAGATTTTTGGTTTGTTAAATCTGTCTTCCTTGGTTAAATAAAGTTAGATTTATTTTAAAATTTCTGTCTAAATTCTGGGCCGCTAATTTCTTGATTTATAGACTAGGGTTTATAATTTTTCCAGGATTAATTTGGATCTGTAACAACCTTTCGAAATGTGTAAATGTGTAAATGTGCAAATGTGTAGCATTAAGATAGTGGATCTATTCTGAAATTCCAAAAGAGTTATTTATTTATTACTCTTAACAGCTTCAGAAAAGGTTCCGTGAGTCCTTAAATGATCCAAATTGATCCGGGAAACTGAAACCATAGTTAAATATGACAGGTTTGTTTGTTTAGTATATGAAATCCCTGAATCCTGGTGAGCAGGTACATAGGTAGCTATTTAGCAGATCAACACAGGTAGCATTATTATCACAAGGTGATGATAAACATTCGTTTATCTCAAGCTCACAGCGCTTACCCTCATAACCAGGCTGGCATTTACAGCTAAAATAAAAATAATTTTATTTCTTTTCCTAACTTCGTTAAATAAAAAATATATGAAAGAAAAAATGCGGCTGAAAATTTTGTGACAGCATAAAAATATTAAAAAAAAAAAAAAAAATTAAACAAATTGTTCAAAGGTTTTCTATCTAAAGAAAATTGTCAAATAATGTGGAAAATATTTGAAGATATTTGAATTAATGAATAGTTTTTTAAAGGCAATGCACACAAAAACAAATGCAACAATTGGTCAACCTTATATAATTGTTTAAAACCTTCTAATTATAATCACAAATTCTGTTGTTTAGAGAAATTTCGAATAATTCCGACAACAGAGTCCCTTGGGTTGTTCAGTAAAGTTTTCGAGAGAAAAAAATCACGCATTTTCATCTCAAAAGACGATAAAATTGTGTACAATTACTCCTTCGGTAAATAAAAAAATTTGACCAAACTACAGGTTTCCTCAACCAAGTATGTGGTGGGAACCCTTTGTCTTATTATGACCTGAAGGTATTTATAAGATCAATGCAAGTAGATCCCTCGCGACAAGGTGAGTGAGAGCATTCATTTATATTGATTTCACAGTTCCTCCCTTCAAAACCAGGCGGACACATACATCTAGAAATATACTTTTGCATATTTTGTTGTGATGTGTAGAATTATGAAAACTCAAAGCAAAGAATAAATGACTGATAAAGTAAGAAAAACTAACCAGCTATATAAATTAAACTTCATACGTATAACAATGATATATAAGATATCTCAAAAAAATTAAAGTTATTGGTTCAGTTTTATATTTGATCCACAAAAGGGAATATATATCTAGAAAAAGTTTTTTTGTTGCTAAATTAAGATATTTGCAGTGATACATTACGTGATATGTGGAGAAAATATGCTATATTTATAATTTGCTTGTCTGGGTGCCTGTCCGTTTGAATCGAATACGCGTCAAAATAACTGAACCAATCGGGGACAGATTTTGTGTGGGACCGCACATGAGCCTAGGGAAGGGTTATGGATGCTCAAAATTACAAAAATGTATGTCCAAAAGTTTTTGATTTTACAAAATATTGAAAATTTGCGAACAAATATTCTGAAATCCGCGAACATGTTTTTGCTTTTATTTTATATTGTAAAGAAGAAGATGCTCACAGATAAGACCACATTTAAAAGTTAAAATGGAAGATGGGCGCGAAGCTCCTAAAAAGTCTAGTAAGATTATATTTTAATACCTGTAGGAAACTGTTAAATCTTCACATAAACCTCCATTTTGACAAGGTACGCCTGAAAAATTGACAATAAGAAAAGGATAATTGTTAAAAACCTTCAGAAATGGTAACTTTTATCAGAACAAGCTTGTTCTCGACAAGTTTAGTCTTTTCATTTGTCCATCCTCATTCTTAACCCGTCTCTCAATGGTCAACCTTCGGAAATGTTTGAATTATGTATCTATATATATATATAAAGTTGTGAATTTATATTTGTTTGTTAAATTTTATGTCCTATTATTACTTAGGAACGCCTTTACCGATTTGCCTCAAACTTTTATTGGGAAAGTATTGTTCTTAGTTTGTTTTTTAATTTAAATTTAGTAGGTTTTTTGCGAAAGTTATTTTCCAGGCAAAGCCGGGTTCCCAAGCTAGTTTGTTACATATATAGTACAGTAAAAATGAGTCTTAACAATTAGAACCTATTGTTTTTATGTTTTGCTATTTTATTCTTTTTTTTAGTTAAAAAATTAAGGAATATTTTGGTAAATAAAATGTCCCACGCTATTTGTGGTGAATTTAGAATAAGAGTCCAAAATATGACTGAAAATATTCCGTGCAACGACAAGATGATCACTTTGTTCTAGCTTTTTTTACATGGCCCCACTTAAAATTGTATTCAATATTTCGAGATTTGAGACGGCGCTCAACTAAAACCGGTTTGGTTCAGCTACACGGTTTGAGTTCTTCAAATTCGGCCTCTGAATTAAATGGAATTGAACTTTCAAGCATGAATGTACACTTTAGTACCTGAGCAAAGATCAATATTCTTTTCGCAGAGTATCCCGGCGTACCCTGGAGAACATGTACAGTTAAACCCATCCACTTGGTCGTGACAGGTCGCCCCGTTCTCACACGGTCGCAGAGCACAATCGTCGAAATCTATCTCACAATTGGTTCCTGTAAACCCGTCCAGGCATTCACACTTGTAACCGTTTACTTGGTCGACGCATGTTGCCTGGCAGCATAAAAAAATGAAACTTTGAAAAATTGAAATATGTGCTTAGCAAAAAAACGTTGTACGCCATGATTTTTCACATTTATATATAAAGATATTAATTCTTAAATAACCATCTTAAAAAAAATAATTTGAAGCAACACAAGTTTTAAACTTTGCTAAATTTCATCCCTTGTTTTCACATGGATTATTTTCGCATTCATTGATGTCGATGTCGCAGATATCTCCTCCAAACCCAGGTGGACAGTCGCAGAAAAATCTGTCGACAAGGTCGACACATGTCCCGTAGTTCTGACAAGGATATCCCACACAATCGTCGATATTTGTCTCGCAGTGAATTCCTAAATTCAAGAAAAATATATATAAAAAGAACTATGAATGGAGATATCAACTCGTTCCTAAATATTGCTTAACAGTGGCTTAATTCAGGCACGAGCTGACTGCTCCTGGCCTTAAAAATTGGTGTACACGGTTCACCTAGTACACCTACAGTTTAACCCAGAACTTCGGAGCCATCAAATGAATTTATAAAATGTCGTCTTCTAAACCTTTTGATAATAAAATGCTGCAGTTATTTAGTTTTTTAATTGAATGATTTTTTAGAGCACTTTAACACTGTTCACGCATATTTCTGAAATTTAGGTTTAAAAGTAAAAACCCCTTGACAAATTGTCAAGACGACATTTCATAAATTATTTCGATGTCTCTGAAGTTTTTGGTTAGACTGTATGATATTTTAGCCTGGTTTGGTTAAGGCCAATTTAAGCCGGGTTCCTCTACTAGGACGTATTTGGGGACCGAGTTTTACTTCTAGTAAAGGATAGTTTTAGCATGGGGGGGAGGGAAATTAGAAAACACTAGAAAGTTGTTTTACCTGTAAATCCTTTCTCGCAGATACATGAGTATCCTTCTTTTCCATTTACACAAATACCAGAGTTTTGACAGGGAGCTATTCTACACATATCAACCTCGGTTTCACACAGGGATCCTTCATAACCCTAAACATAAAGTTGTAATCTCTGTTTGTCTGTCCGATCATAACTCATGAACCCTTAGACCGACTTGCCTAAAATTTTGGTTGAAAAAACCACTTAGTTTTTAGATTCTACCTTAAGTAGGTCAACTTATCAGAGAAAATAGCTAAAATAGTAATGTATGACCAAGGGCGGGTAACTGGCGGAAATAACTATTAGTACCCTGGGCAAAGCAGGATTCTCAATATAATAATAATAAGTTATCTAGAGAAATTTTCAATAAAGGGAATATTGGTAAAATTTCAAACTAAACCAATCATTTTTAAGTTTAAAGTGGCAACCATTGTAAATATGACTTTTGAAATAAAGGATCAATTAAAAATTCTTCAATTGTCACTTTAAAATGACAATTTGTATTAAACGAGCAAAAATAGAGGGAAAACCAGTCAAACTTCTTATCCAGTTAAATTCAATTAAATGACGTCATTTTGTTGGATAATGAAAATGGTCTTTATCTTTACGCTTTAACTGATAAAACAACTTTATGCATTTAAAATATTTCAATTTATCTCTAGTTTTATTATTGAAAAGAGAGAACCAAAAAACTCTAGAATAGTAAGTCAAATTTTAGACTCGTTAAATAGTCTAATGAACATAAGACAGTGCAATGAAAACAGACCCAATTCACTTTATAAGTTATATATCGTCTTCCTCTTCCAGAGTTTTCTGGTTCTTTAGTATATTCTAACTTACTCTGGGACACTGACACTGGAAGTTATTAACCAGGTCCAAGCAAACCCCTGAATATATATTTTTATATTTTTATGAAACTATTGTGTACTTTATTCTTTATACTCACTTCATGCTCAATTTTATATTTGCCGTGCTATAAGCCTATGGCGTAGTAATCGTGCTATAAAGTTGAGTTAGCTTTATATTATAGCATCTAGCTTTAAAGTGATAATCGTGCTATAATCCAAAATTAGGAGTATATTTTGATGTTTCTAGATTTTTTTTTCAATTTAAATGAAAATAAAAATGAAAACAACTTACACAAGTACACAAACAAAGCTTAGGACAAAATATAATCTAAAATGTTTGAACCTTCTCGATAAAGAAAAAATATCTGTTCAAAAACTTTATAGCACTGCGAACCAAAATTATTGTTTTATAAATAGTTAATAATTCTAAAGACTCAGGAGAAATAAGAATAAAACGTTTCATCAATTAATTTAAATTCAAGATTCAAAGAAAAAATATTTTTCTCAGGACAACATTTTTGGCTAGTTTACTCTTTCCAAACGAAAAACTAGGATCAAGGTTTAATGCACAAAACAGATTTTATAATTATATCATAACAATTTATATTATATCATTTTTACTTTAGAGCATTTCTAAAACTTTTCATTGACTGGTTTTAATCAAAGAGACAAAAGGTTTTAAATTCCACGAAATTTCTGATTTAATGAAAAGATATTGAATAGAAAGATTTCTCGATGAAAAGATATTAAACCTGAGTTGAGACATGGATCCTGATAACAATCATCTTCGTCAATATCACATCTCTCTCCCTAAACACAAATCACATCAGGGCATTTCTTCAAAAATGTGCAGTATGAGTTTTTGCCACAAACTCAAATTTTCTAATCTCTATTCATTTGCAATCTGATGGTGTAAACCTTTGTTATTTAAAACTTAAATTTTGTGTTAAAACAGAATTCAAAGTTTTAAAATTCTAAAGTCTGAAACAACTTCTTCATGAATAAACCTTATTCAAATCTTGGATCGCTGTAATTAAAGAAAGCCAAATAAGCTGAATCAAATTTAAATTTCTAGGTTTGGAAAGTTATTCTTGAATTCCATATAATATTGGGAATCAATAAACAAAATAAAAACAATTAATTAATGGAAATGTACCTGATATCCTGGTTCACAAAGACAATAAAATCCACCAAATGTGTTCTCGCAAGCTCCGTGCTCACAAGGACTAAATAAGTAGCTAAAATTATTAAAAATCGATCATTAATGTACGCCATTACTACGTTAACTTAGTTGGGTAATTTCATGGTAAACTAAATAGCCTAGTAGCTATTCATTGGTAATAGTCTTACTTTTCAAAGATATCTATATATTTAAACAAAGACGACGTTCTCTCTCTCTGTCAAACCGGTTTCTAGATCCCAACCGTGGATTTCTGGGGAAGTGGGGGAAACGGATCAATCCGTAAAATGTTTAAATTAAGGAATATATTGATAATAGGCCATTTTTAATTAACTTAAAAAAAAAAGATATTCACAAATAACTACTAGATACTACGGTAGTTTAATATTTGAAAATTTAATCAATGTCTATGACAACAAGCATCAAATAGTGTGAATGCAAAAATACCTTTGCGCTGAAATTCTGAACGAAAAATCGGCGTTTTCTCCGGCAAAGCTAGGACTAATACCAATGAATAGCTAATTATAGGCTATTTAGTTTACCCTCAAATTACTCAAATAAATTTCTTCATGGAAACATTCAAAATGAAAGTTCTTTAACATCTTCTTAATCTAATCTTTAGTATTTTTGTTGAATTATTTAGAATTTGAAAACTAAATATTTCGGAGGAAATGAAATGTCATTATTAAATATGCACTAAGTATAAAGTTTACATTTTATTCATAGTTATCAAAGTATGTCGTAGGGTTAGATTTTATAAATACAGGGGATGTTTATAATATAAAAAAATGGTGTATTCTAATTCATCATGGTTTGACATATACTCTACAAGTTCTACATGGCAGTTTTTTAAATTTTTAGATTGTTCTGAGAAACTCAATGGTTTCGAAAAAAAGGAGTTTTTGCCACAAAATAAAATGGTCTTATCCCTATATCTTTGCAACCTGATGGTGTATATCTTTGATATATCAATCTTAGACAATTTGATCCAACAGAATTCATATTTTGAAATATCAAACGTCTGCAACATCAGGTTGCAAAGATAAAGGGATTATAAATTTGAGTTTGTGGGAAAGGCTCAATTCCTTTATTTATTCTTGGGGCTAGTTAAGTGCTAATTTAGTGCTAATAAGTGCTAATTAAGTGCTTAATAATTGCTATTTAAGTGCTATTCAAGTGCTAATTAAGTGCTAATTAAGTGCTAATTAAGTGCTTAACAAGCGCTAATTAAGTGCTAATTATGTGCTAATTAAGTGTTAATTTAGTGATGTAAAAACTGAAATGTATGATCCTAAGAGTGTTAGATGCAAAATGCATAAAATAATATATTGATAGATTTGAAATTATACCTTGAGATACATTCATTTATATCCTCATCACAAGATGATCCTTCAAATCCTGGAATACAAATAAAAATAATGCAAAATCATAAAAGTTTATTTTAATTCATATTTTACATTATTTTAACAAAAGATTAAAAACGAAACAAAATAATAATAATAATTTTGAATATTTAGTTTTGTTAACAATCCTTGGATCTGGATTCAAGTGAAAATTTGAACCCAAAACTTTGACCTTTTCAAGGTACCACCATTTGAAAGATCTGTGGCCCGTCCAATTCACAACGGTACCTCTGAACGTTTCTCAACCAAAGAGACTTTTCCTCCGAATCAATTCAGAAATGATCTAGGTTTTCAAGCCAGAAAAAACAATGTTATGATTGTTTGTCAGATTAAGGTTTCAAGGTACGTTGAAACCATAGTCTGATCAAATATGAATGGTTTTGTTTCTTTAAACTCATCTGAAAGTGAATTACGCATTCATTGCTTATAAAAAGCAATGAAGAAACTCACAAAAATAAAAAAAATCGAATCAGAAAAACGACGATATCTTCCACATTTTTATCAGAATAAGGTTTTAAGGATATCGCTGTAAATCAGACGGTTGATCAATTTACACTTACAGTCCCTTTAATCCAATAAAAAATCAAATAGTATTTGTTTAATTTAATAAATTTAATTTAGTCAATGAATTTTTTAGCCGGCCGGATTTACCCATAGCGAATACCTGCATTGCACACACATACATTTTCTATACAAAAACCATGAACACAGGCAGAGGAACAACCAGAATCTGAATTCGTAAAAACATTTTAGGGTACGTACAGTCGTCGTAGTATATATACATACAATGAATACTACTTGTATTTTCAATTTATCTCAAACAAGATTCAAACAGCTAGGATACACATAAACATGAAAACAAAGAGAATCTGTCAATTAACAGCTTCTCTTTGTTCACTTGTAAACTTGTAATTTGAAGGGGAAAAATCAAATCTCAAATAGAAAAAAGTTGTCTTCATTGTATTGCTATAAACGCCGAAAACAATATTTTTTTTTTATAATTTCACAATTTTTTTCGCCCAAGGAAACGCCAAAAGCACAATACATAATCACTGGTAATAATGGATTTACTGAATTAACATGAGTAAACTTCTTCAAAATAATCTAAACCCTTATTATTTTTTAGATAATTTCTATTTTGAATAATTTCGCTTTTATATAATGTTTGAATAATCTTTCCTGACACTAAGGTTGTTTCCTTTTGCACTCTGAGGTTAAAATCTAAAACAATTTTTTCCACGGAAAGATTGAATTCTTCATTACAACGATAACCAAAAGCTTTAGAATAGGAAAACGACATTAAAGCAATACTGCAGTGCATTTGATGTTGTTACAAAGCAAATAGCTTTACTAGTAAGTTAATAAATTCCTTATAAAGTAAAATGGGCCTGTTACATTGCACAAATGCTGTGCCTCATCTATTTAAAGTCATAACTTGAGTCTAAAAGTCGTTTTTCTATTCCAGAGTATTCTGGTTCTTACTGTATCATTTAATTACTTGGTGGAATGCTGCTTGAAGGAGGTTTAGGTCTTGGTTTAAACCCTCGCTCAGGTCCAGGACCAAATGTGCTGAGGCTGGATTTCGTTCTCGGCTCAGGAACATCTTCATCTCCGGTTTCAGAAACAGGATCGACTCCAGGACCTGGTTCTGAGTCTGACTGTATCCGGGGTGTAAATGAACCTTCCTGGTTAGCAACAGGGAGGAGAAGGTCAGAGAAATTTGTATTCTCAATCCCATTCACATCTCTGGGAATTGCAGATCTATTCTCAAGTTCCTCAATCTCCCCATCTATCCACTGAGGATAAAGAAAATTAGGGTTCGATGTATCCTGATGGTCTATTTCTAGAACAGGCAAGGTTGGGTTCAGCTCCGGTTTAGGTTTGTCTCCAGCATTGAAATGTTCTCTGTTCTGAAACTCAGCAATGGCCGGCCTAACCATTCAAATTGTTTGTAACAAAAACAAATACGACAGAAATCTAACAAAAAAGTTCAGAAGAAAAAACGCAAAACCAGACACAGAGGCCGTTTATGTGGTGGGGGGACGTCCCCTCACTGGGAGTCTTGGGGGGGGGACTCCCCCCCCCTTGGAAAAATTAGAAGCGCAAGAAGAGAGAGCTTGCACCTATAGTCCTGTAATTTTGATTTTTAAGAATAGATTTTTGAAAAATACTGCGAAAAAGGATCAAATAATAATTGAAAAAAAAATAATTGGAAAACTCGTTTAAAAATTTTCTATAGATGTTTTACCTTTTTTAAGTGAATCCCATATAATATGTACTTTGATTAACTTTCTAGCCTGTGTCAGGGCTATGCCAGGGCTATGGGCCTGCTCTGTAATTGTTGTGTATCTTGCTTCAGGCCGCAAACAGTTTAACATTGTAAAATGGCCTCACTCAATATACAATCTAATTTTTTATCTAAACTTTTTGACAGAAGAAGTGAGAATTCATATTATATAATAATTTGTAGTTTCAAGGTTTGGTTTTCGTAAATTTACGCTCAGGTTAATCAGGTTGACATTTTCATCAACGAGGGACAATTAATTTTGTTTGTTAACAATGGCCACTCGTAAACAAGGGAAGAAAGTATTGGACGTGAATAGGACAGGATGGTCGGGCCTTGAATAATAGGTCACAATAGGTCCTGTGCTGTCCTTTAGAAAGTTAAAGTTATAAAGGTAATCCTTATCTCCAGTCTCTCCTTAGTTCTATTCTCATTGGTTCTAAGAAATTAGTTTGTTTGAAGACAATTCTTATTTTGTAAATAAAACAATCTTTACAAAAAAGTTTTCTTTCTANGAAGGACATAATCTGAGAAAATAAAAAGAAAATATTTTTTTATTTAAAAAAAATTTCAAAAAAGGTGTAAAATCATTTCGATGGAGATAATTTTGAAGTATAAAAGTGTTCTGCGAAATGTTACCAAAATTTACTGAATACAAACAGGGATAAATAAAACACTGGTTAACAGGTTTATTATTAAAAGAATTCTTAAAAGAATAACCCTGTTAACCAGTGATGATCAATTCGCAATTTTTTTTCACAATTTCTGAAAATTCGAAAAATGTTGACTAAAAATTTTCATGATTCGCGAAAAATTTTACATTTGTATGAACATCGAATCGTAAGGTTGTGTAAACAATAAATAAAAACGTTACATTGAGCGGTAGACATATTTAGTTGATTCTTATTTCAACAAATAGTGTAATATGTGAATTTGGATAAAAGTAATCAATCCCTTTAATAAACCATTTATCACAAAATAGTCATTTCCTGTAGTTCTATTGTGTTCTTTACTTTACTGTTTCCTTAACTACTGCAAATATTTGCTGCAGTTCTTCCGCGAAAAAAATCTTTGTTTTTCTGCAAAAATGTAAACAATTTGAATTCCTGGTTTGATTCTGGTGTACTATTTCTCCCTCTGTACATTGCAAAAGCAACAACCAAAGCACATATTCAAACATTTCTGAAAACAATTCGTAAATAAATAAAATTTCTAAATTTTATTAAAAAACATTTGATTTTTGGAAAATACAATGAATATAAAATGAATATAATGCATGAAAGACTTCTGCCAAAAATATACATTTAGACCAATACGAAGAAGCTCATAAAGTTTTGTTGATTTGTTACTTGATCTTTCTCTCTTAAAGGGACCGTTCACTTTTTTGGGTAATTTCAGGGTAAAGTAAATAGCTTATTAGCTATTGATTGGTATTAGTCTTACTTTTTAAAGACATCCTGGCCGGAGAAAAAATCAGATAATTGTTTAGAATTTCAGCGCAAAGGTATGAAATGGATTAAAAAAAAATGTTCGGATATAAAATTCAACTATAGTATATAATAGTTAATTGGAAATGTCTTAATTTTTTTTCAAAATTTTCTTTTTCTAAAACAACACTTTTTAAGCAAATTGAATAATACTGAAAACGTATAATTTAGTATTTAAAGCAAAGGTTCCGAACCTTTGCACTGGAATTCTGAAATATAAATCAGCTTTTTCTCCGGCCACAGCTATCTTTGAAAAGTAAGACTAATAAGAATTCACAGCTAATAGGCTGTTTAGTTTACCATAAAATTACCCAAATAAGGGAACGGTCCCTTTAAATTGCATAAGTTTTTGAAAGGGGTGGTTTAAGCACAATGACACATTTCAGAGTAACCTAAAAAAGATTGGCGTAAATGAAAACGAGATAGTTTGTTTTTAATCTTCATAACAGAAATAATCTGAAGAACTGACGAGGCCGGTCAACCCGGACCGAAATATATTTTTAATAAAATGTGGAACTAACATCTACTTTATTTACTCTACAGAAGTTTGGTTCATCACCATCACCGAATTTGAAAACTCGAGGATTATACGAGGTCGCTAAGGTGCCCTAGTAATTTCATATAAATATATCCTTGTTCTTTGCATGTGCATAAATCTACCTGCAATACATTAAAGATACTACCAGGCCGAATTTAAAGTGTTGCAAGGCCTTGACCCGTGGCTTGACCTTTTCTGACATAATTGTAGTTATTTTAGACTCTGGTATCAAAATTTACTGCAAAACACTTGTTTCATTTTAAGTTTAGAAGGTGTAATTAAGAACATATACAAATTAATTTATATTAGTGAGCATCTAGTAAACAATTAAGTGCCTATCCATTGTCACTCAAATTGATATTAATGTCCCCTATTTTAAGTTCATAATGTCATGCGCTAAGTATTTTTATTTTGTAATATTTGATTTTCTAAACATTTAATTGAAGCGTTTGGTCAACATGTTTAAATACATGTTTAAATAATTTTTTTAACTTGTTTAGTTTATATTTAATAATAATATTTATTTTTAATGATCTTTTTAAAACATTTGTTCCTGTTTCGAGGATTTTTGATAATTAAGACAACATTTCCATATTTTCCAGGAATGTTCGAAAATCCAGCGCCAGCGAAATATTATTTTAAAAAAAGAAAATCAAAAACATTATGAAATATCAACTAAATACGAATGCGTCGAAAAATAATCGATGGCTACTGATTGTAATATCTGAATGATTTGTTTGGAATTAAATTGATTGTTTTACGATCCAAGTTGAATGTTGCAACTTTCTGAATTTCTGTTGACGCTGCGCTACATTCTTCAGCATAAGTCATTTTTAACAATTTTCTCCTTATATAGACGCTACAGATAGAAGTAAGATTTGTATCGATCAAAGCGATTATTTCTCGCCGTGAGCTCATACCTCCATTCATTTTTCGCGAACACTCCCTTTTTAATATAGTCAAGAAATAAGAAGTTATAGATTATAGCAAAGGTATTCTACACGACACCACATTGTATAGTAACTGTAACATGATTTGAGATCGGAACTATTGTTGGATTTTTATTAATCTTGAATGCTTGACCTCGATAGCCAATGTGGGTACTGAAAGATTCGGAAATCAATTCATCCCTAAATTAAAATTGGCCCTGTAGGGTATGAACATCGAATACTAGAGAGGAATTTATATTACATAGATCTGCATAAGATGGAGATCAATGCTTGATCCCTATAGTCACAACACAATAATTCTGACTCCTAGATAACTTCATACAATACATGAAAATTTTCATCTTTGTTTTTAGAACCCTTGTCTACTCCTGGTACCGCTATTTTGCCTAGAGCTCTTACAATCTTACCACAGCATTTTAACCCCATTATACCGTCTAAGATAGTCTACACTCTAGGCTCATAAACTCTACACTCTACACTCAACACTCTACACTCTACACTCTACACTCTACACTCTACACTCTACACTCTACACTCTACACTCTACACTCTACACTCTACACTCTACACTCTACACTCTACACTCTACACTCTACACTCTACACTCTACACTCTACACTCTACACTCTACACTCTACACTACTCAACAATCTACGTTCTGCACTCTTCTACTGCCCCTGCTCTAAACTCTGCATTCTGCCGGTCATGTACGTTAATATTAACCAGCTATCCTAGGTATCAGTAATCTGGTTTATTCTGGTTTTAGATCATTTATGTATAGCATTCACACTAGACTAGGTCATGGAAGATAAACAGTTACCAAGAAACCCAATATCGATGTTGATAATGCAGAAGTGTACCATGCATTATCTGGAAGGAACATAAATAAGTTCATGCAACATTACTGGTCCGGCTTTGTATACTCATAGCTCATCGAGTTTTAGTTCAGCACGCAAGTATAAGAAAAGCAAACGAATCCAGTTCATATTTGAAATTCAAAACATTTTTGTTCTTTTCTCTAGCTCTGTAAGAGGAGATATGATTGAAAATATAAAAGATTTAAATCTAACGTGCAATGTATACGAAAAAACCGTCGTATATAATCAAATATAGATGCCCAATTACTTCTTTAAAACTGAACCTAGAAAAAGTGCATTGTGCATCTAAAATGTACATATCTAGGACTAGAAAAAAATAAAGTTAGAGTGGTAAACCCAAAGGTCAAGACGTTGCAACACGTCCAAGTCGACCCAGTCTTAAAAGTTATGAATCTTTTTATAGCTGCCTGGATCTTCACTGGAAACTTCACATCTACTTGTTTTATTGCTTAAAAGAACAAATAAACTCTTTTTCAAATTAAAGTATTATTGAAGCATAGAAATTAAAAAGGCTTTAGGTTAAAATAACTTTTGAATTTTCTGTGTCGGCAGTTCGCCTTTCATTTCAGTTGTAAATCAAAAAATAACAACAATTTGTAACTTTTGGTTGTGAAAACATTTTTGCGTGTTTGTCTTATGAAAAAGGAAGTTGTCTTAAACTTGATTTTAAGTAAAAGTAAAATTAATAAAACGACAATGATAAATAATGGAGCCAAATATGATTTTATGTCGTTCTGTCAATTAAGGGAGAGAAGTTTAGCCTAAACTTAAAAAATAAAAATAAAAAGAATCTCTCCGATCTTCCCCGGACCGAACTCGTCGGTCGCGGGATATAACCAAGAATCTTTTAGGATTAGATATACTTTGGATACTAATCTATATAATAAAACAATTATTTAAACAAAACAGGAAAGAAGGAAGTTACACCAGGAATTCACAAATGTTTGCTTATATTGATAAGCTATAATATATCCCAGGAATTGCAATAATTTATAAAATGGAGGTTCTTGGTTTATCATTCTTGACAAAAACCACCGAACTTAACTTTCAATCTGTATATTTTTTTAACGCACAGGATTTGATCATGCCTTTTTTATTATATAGTTTACCATAAAATTAGTGAGCTTTGATAAAATCATCATTATTTTTGTTTGCTAAAATTGGTTCTTTCTTGGTGAAACGGTACTATTGATTAACAATACAGAAGTGTTGACTGTAACTAAACAATTAAGTCCTGAGGCATCAAGGACTATTTGTGGTTTTAAAACTGTCTCAATGTTTTGTCCTTTTTTGATGTTTGAAGTATGAATGAAGGGGTGGAAGGTTGGAAAAGGAGGAATATATAAATTATATCAAAGTCAGATCAAATAATCTATGTGTAAATTGACAAAGGTTGCAAAGATATAGGAATTGCAAAATTTGAATGTTTGGCAAAATCTTAGTTTCTTTATAAATAGCAAGTTCGAGCTTTGAATTACGATGTTACTTAGTACGTTCTTGTTGGCTTGTTCAGAATATTTTTTAGCCTTTTTTGCATTTAACATTGTGTTGACACTTATTTAAAAACAAATAAAAAGTCTTCGGGCTTTATCTGTATTTACCGAGGATAATTAGCTAATTCTAGAAATTCCTTTAAATACAGATCATTTAAAAATAACAAGAAATTTTCTGTTTAATCTCCTCTCCTGAATCTTTAATTAATCGTATTTTATCATTTTAAAGTGCTTAAATCCAAAAAAATACTTAAAAGGAAAACATATATTTTTACCCCTCACAGACTTAGGGGGAAAGGGGGTATTAAATCCTGTATACGCCCTTCTTATCTAAGATGGCTTTGTAAATCTTGTATTTAAAAAATAAACAATATTCTCACATTTTCTCTTATACAATTGTAATGTTTTACTTTTTTTATCAAAATGATTTTTAATGTCCGGCACCTGGCACACCGTCCGGGTAGAGATCGACGCGTTCGGCTTTTTTTCATTTTGATTGTTCATCATTCATAAACGGTCCATTTCGTTCGTTATTTTATTCAATTGTTGAAAAAAATAATTAATTTCGTACGTTCTCAAAATTATCGTTTATTTTCCCTATGTTTCGTTCGTTTTGTCAATAAACGATTTTTCAATAAAATCGTTAGTTCAGACAAATCGTTCGTTCAATGAAATCGTTAGTTCAGACAAATCGTTTGTTCAATAAAATCGTTCGTTCAGGAAAAAATATCGTTTTCGAAATGTTTTTTTATTAGTAAAAACACTATTATTTTTTAAATAGTGTGCTCGAAAAAATCGTTCATTCTGTATAAAAAACGGTAGTTTTTTTTTTAAATTTCGGAAAATTTATTTGTTTAGTTCAAAAAAATGAACAAAAAAATTCATGAACGATCAGGATCATTCGAATCATTTTAGATCGTTGGTTTTTGTTTTTTACTTTCGTTTTTAAAAAACGATCATTTTTATTTCTCTGATGATCCATTTCATTCTTTCATCGTTTTATTTTCTTTCACGAAAAATGTTGTTCGTTTTAAAAATGTTAAGTTCGTTTGTTAAAAAATCCGCGACCAATATCTAGGCACAGACAATCTCTAAGCACACGGCAATTCATTATGATTAATATTTTTAAAAATAAAATCTCTTAGAAGGCTGCTTCAAGTCTAGTACAATGAAAACCAGAAAACCTTGAAATAGTGCAGAGTAAACAGACCCATTTCACTTAATCATTCATTTAACAAGTGTCTAGTAAAACAGTTTGCTTTGTAATTGCTTTAATGTGCTCTTCATATTCTACAGTTTGTTGGTTATCACTGTAGTACTACGATATTTTTTCTTTTATAATATAATAAGCTATGAGCAGAGTTTCCTAAGACTAACAATGTTTTTTTTTATTTCGTCTCGACGTTTGGAACCTAAAAAGTGTTTTATAAAAGAAAATGTTTAGGGTTAACATTTTTTGCAGTTTAAATGCCTTAGTAGAACATGATTCAAGTATAATTTGGTAAGATTTAATAAATAAGCTTAATTTCCAAAATTTAATCTCTTTAAGCTACCGAACCCAATTAAATGCAATACTAAACAATCCTTAATTTAGATAATTCATCTAATATCAAATTCTAAACTGTTTTGCATAAAATAAGAATAAATTGTCTTGGAAACGTTTTCCCTAATTATTCATATTAGTGTATACACTAATTTTTCTTTATAATATACACTGTAGTGTATATTATACACCATTGTGTATGTACGGGACAGTATTAAAGGGACTGTACGGCACAGTATTAAAGGGACTGTACGGCTCAGTATTAAAGGGACTGTGCGGCTCAGTATTAAAGGGAATGTACGGCTCAGTAGTAAAGGGACTGTACGGCCCA